ATACTAAGTGTTATTTCTTCAAACCATACCCTACTCGAACCTGAACAATAGAATTCCTGAGATTTTTTCCCTTTTCAACATTGGCCTATTTCAATTGATTACATAACTAACATCAGAATAATGTTCTTCAGGGATCATTTTACTTGCATAAATTCTAGACATTCTTCAGTTTGTGGGTTAATAGCTCTTTCTGGGCTCTAAACCCTTTGCATCTTGTGAGTACTTCTATACTAAAGTAATTATCTGTCCTCATGTGTGACTTTTTCACTAAACCAAGAGATCATCATGGAGAAAAATAAAAGATGAATTACCTTGCATGATTATTTTTCATAGTCCTGGGATTCAGTACTTTCCAAACTGACTCACAAAAATGTGTCATGTGTGTTTGTTTAATAAGTGAAGACAATTAATTGCTGGCCATGAAGTTTATGTTTCTTGTAACTTTATTCCAGTCTATCAGCCCTGCACATTTCTTCTTTTATTGCTGTCATCTTTAGCTTTTTGAATCCTTCAAGAGTTCTCCCTTTGCTGATGTGGTTGCTCAGGCCTTCACTGAGTCATACTTTAGATATCTTGGGGTGACACCAAATTTAGGAGTTCTCATTTAAATGTGACAAATGCATGATAGGCCTGGTTTAAAATTAAGGGGCTTTTATTTTTATTTTTTTTTTTTTTGGCTTATGATCTGATCTAGAAATCTGAGAAACAACTTCTTGAGCCACTTCATATTCTAATTCATGAACTTGCTCATCCTTGAACTTCAAAAAAATGAATGGTGTTTTTAATAAGGTGGATTACATGGTGGGATATCTGACAAGGACAAGTCAGTGATTTTTTTTTTTTGTCACTTTCAATTCTCAAATGAATCATCACCCAGTTGAAACTGGAAATTTCTCCCACAAAGTCCATGTAGCATTTTATGTGGTTCTGGGTGTTTGTTTCCACATGTTCTGCTGACAAGCACCATAATATGGAAATTCACAATATCTGCTCTTTCCCCATCAATTAACAAGGTCTTAGCTTTCTCCGACATTATACTTATTCATAAAGGTTAGAAGGACATCACTTTCTGGTAAGATGACCTGTTCTGTCTTTCAAATGTGATCACCTTTTGAAGAGTTCCACGAAATTATTATTATTATTATTATTTAATATTTGGTTGAAGTACTCACAGTCCAAACAAAAAATTAGTAGACATTGGTTAGGGGTCTTTTCAGTCTCACAGAGATTATCAGTGACCCTCCATTCCCTTGTGGTCTGCTTCAGCCCTGAAGTGACTGGTGAGCCCAATCTTATAGATTACAAACTCTTTAACTGGGTAGAAAAAAAACACAGCTTGCCTCACTTCCTACACAGTCACCTGAATTCTTTATCTTTCAAGACTATTGGTTTCTGAGCATATTCCCAAGAGAGACCCACAGCAGAAAATGTAAGTTTTACACCAGAACTGCAGACCTGTGATATATGTTTGTTTTAGTCAGCTTTTTCATTATTGTGACCAAAATGCTTGAAAAGAGTAACTTAGAGGAACAAAAATGTATTTGGGGTCACAGTTTCAGAGGTTCATTCCATGGTTGGCCCACTCCATTGCTGTGCATCTGAGGTGAGGCAGAACATCATGGCAGAAGGGTATGGTGGGGGAGAGCATCTCAGGCCATGGCAACCAGGAAGCTCTGCTCAACAGGGACAAAATTAAAACCCCAAAGGCAAGTTCCCAGTGACATAATTCCTCCAGCCACATTGACATGCTCACAGTTACTGCCCCATTAATCCATATCAGTGGATTAGTCTACTGATGTGATTGCAGCTCTCATAATCTTATCTTTTCACCTCTGAATATTCCTGCCCTGTGACTAATGAACTTTTGTAATATACCTTATTTCTAAATCATAACAATGTTACATCTATAAAACTTGCTTAGGTTTATTTACACTTGTTTGTATTCTTTTGACTGCTATATCTTAAGTTCTTGTGTTAAGAGATACTTTCAAAGAATGAGGTGATGTATCATAGGACTTAAACGTACAGATTCTGGAATAAGTTAGACCTGGATTTGAAAGCCAGCCTATTCTGTATCGAATTATGAATTTAGAGAACTTTTTCTCTAATCATCTTTGGTATTGTTATGAGAAAATTAAAGATAATAATTCCTACCTTAAATGATTGATGTGAGAATTCCTAAAGGTCCGTTCATTCTACAGATATTTTTTAAGCACCTGGAGCAAGGGAAGAAATGTAGAAGTGAGAAAGACAAGCATATTCTACAACTTATCCTGAAGCTTCATCCAAGGGCTTCAGTGGTGATCATAATTGTTTGAAGTGTTGTAAAAGAGTGAATGAAGCAAGTTAAAGGAAAGTGTGGTGTGAGATCTACATGGCCTGTGGATCACCAAAGGATGTTGTTCACAACCTAGAGGTTAGTAGAAATGCTTGGCTGCCAAGGTCAAAGATCCTTGTTCACAAATCTTTTATCTATTATGAGACAATTGGATTGAATGCTAAAAATGACAAACAGCTAGACAAAGAAGCTTTGGGGAAAGAGGGACTGGGCAGAGAATATAGCATACATAAAAATCTGAAAAATACATAGGAAGTCCAGGAAAAATGCAGAAGTCAGGCATGCCTGAATGCAGAGTACAGATTTATGTCACATTTTCAATAAATGGTAACTATTTATAATTCAGAAATCATGTTTTCATTGACTTCTAGAGAGTAGATACCATTCTGGTTAGTAAATAGTTTGAAACTAACTTAAATTTTTTTTCCAAGAAGACATCTAGCAGAACCTTTCTACTACGCTATAATCAATCCATAAATGTAAATTTGTAGCTTAAAATTAAATTGTCCCCAGGCACACAGTAGCTTCTTTTTCTTTCTTTCTTTCTTTCTTTCTTTCTTTCTTTCTTTCTTTCTTTCTTTCTTTTTTTTTGGTATTTTACATTTAGTCTTAGCATCCTCTCACTCCTCCCATAGGACACTGAAATCCAATTGTCATTGTATACATAAGGACAGGAGAATGCCAATCACTTCAGGCAAGAGCTTTTGGCAGCTTTGCAGATTTTAAATGCCTCCTTTTGAATAAGCAGTGTACTTTTCTGGAAGGATTTAAAACCATGTTATATAAGTTGCAATTAGTGGCTTCCCACAAATTGCATATCACTCTAGTAAGTCAGATCTCTTTAAAGTGCTTTGTTGACTGGCTCACGGGATTGTACTTCATTGTACGTTAAAGGGCAAATATATTTCTCTCCCTCTTTTATACTCAACCACTTAGATACACATCATCCTGGGTGTGTACTTCAGAGCTTCTGGTTGGGTATTTATAGGGGTTTCCAACTAGGAACACACAAAAGCAACATAATGTGCTGCTAAGCATATATTTTCTTTTTTTGCAGGTTCCATTTTATTTTTAGTGCATAGGTTTCTCTAAATTGCACTGGTTTATCATCTCTATTATAGTAAATAAAAAATGCACAAAATGAAGAAAGCCTAGTAATAGCAAATGAATGTAACACAGATGTCAGAGCTAAGCCAAGATGATTTTTGATTAGACAATAAAAGCAAGGTAAGAGTATATAAGAGGCTAATTCTTGTAGCAAAAAAATAAAAACTTTCACTATACCTATGCAGTGAATCCAAACCATTGAACAGGTTTTTGGGAGGCTTCAAAAGGAGAAAAATGGTTATCAAAGGGAAAATATAGTTTGATCATTTGAGGAAGACAACTGGTTGACCAACATCAACCAGGTCAGGCACAATGCAAGATCAGCTCTGTGGATCACACAGGTTATTGTTAAAAAAGCAAACAAACATAATAACCCTAGTGAGCCTTAGATGCTATCTGGCTTTGCCATTTTCCAGGTCTCTGATGTGAACAAATCACTCATAGAAGCTGTTGGCCTCCATTTCCTTGTTTGTAAAATGATGGAATTAGACAGATAATCCTTAAGGATCCTTCTGGTCATGACTACGAATCATCTAGATTCAAATCCTGGGTCATTCTCTGATACTGGGCAGTCCCATTTTACCTGTGGACCTCCTTTTCCTACATCCTAGAAAAAAGCAAGAATGCATAACTTAGCGTTTTTTTAAAAGAATAGATTGAGGTAATATTTGTGAAAACCTCTAGCAAAGGGCCAACCATATAGTAAATCTCTCAATATATTGTCATTGCTAATAATAATCTTTAGAAACCTTCAGTGAAAGATTGGAGGACTTTCCAGTCAAAGATTTCTATACTATCAATAATTTGGCTTGAAAATGGTTTCTAGGTTTCAATGATTTCTCATTGCTAAAATGATATGAGATTAAATTAGATTAGATTAGTAGAGGTGAGAGGCATCTGAATAAGAAGTAAAGATAAGATTAAAGAATAGTCTCATGTCTACTTGGCAGCCCACAGAAGCAACAGCATAGTCACTGACAGAACAAATTTGGAAGGAAACTGTCATAAGGTAGATATCAATGAACCTCAAGATCTAAGAAATGCACATTCTGTGGACACTATTGCATTGGTTTATGGGGTTTGTGCTCCTTTTATCCTTAAAAGGCATTTAGTGAAGAGGTAGTGTGAGGGGAAGGTCATAGGATTGTGTCAAACATCATGGCTGAGATAACCAACTATCCATTGAAAAGGCATGCTCCTATTCCCATGGAGTGGATTGTGTGCAGTAATGGGGCTTGCCACTCTGAGCCTTCACCTCTCACATTTATATGCATTCTGGTCATGTAACCCACCTTCACTAATAGCATGTGGGCAAATGTGTCAATATCTTAGGAAATGGTGAAATTCCAAAAGCAGGAGACCACATTTACCATATGCAGGAAAGCTGCCTTTGAACTAGAAATACCCATATTCTTCTCTGGAATGAATGAGAAATATATTTCCATTATATTAAGCAACAGAAAATTTGGGACATAATATTTGTTCGGGTAAAACAATATATACGGATTTGTCAACACGAATTTGTCAAAACATGCTAAATGAAAAAAAATCAGTCTCACATACAAAATTATAGACTTTATTATTACATTCACCTGAAGTTCTAAAACAGTCAAAACTAATGGAAAATATCAGAAAACTTTCTGCCACTGGAGGAGTGGGGTGGGGTGAGATGAGATTTTACTAAGGGATCCAGGAGAACTTTCCGGAGAGACCTTAATCTTCTCTATCTTGATGGGTTTGTTTTCCACAGGTATATGAATATTTAGCAGGTATGGAGTTCAGATATATGCAAATACTTCTATATGTACTTCAATCCAAAAGGAAAACTGTAAACCAATATTAAATTGTGGTTAATGATACATATGCATTTTAGACAGCTTAGCATCCCTGTGACCAAAATGCCCAGCTGAAAATAACTTACAGGAGGAAAAGTTTATTTGGGCTCATAATTCAGAGGTTTGGTTTATGGTGAACTGAGTTCATTTCTCTGTGCCTAAAGTAAAGCAGAGTATAATGGCCAAAGGGCCCAAAAGAGAAAAGCTGCTCAGCTCATGGCAGGGTCAGGAAGTAAGCATGAGAAGAAGGGAAAGGGGCCGCAGGGACCCTTCCAGGGCACCCATTTCCTCCAGCCATACCCCAGCTGCCTAGAGAAACCACCCAATCAGTCCATTCAAACCAGGATGGACTGATTAGGTTACAGCTCCCCCTGTTCAATCATTTCACCTTTGAATATCCCCCATGAATGCAGGAGCTTTGGGGGACACCTCGTATCCAAACCATAACAATATGTATACTAAATAACTTAGAAGGAAGTCTTATTAATGTCTAAAGTTTCCTTGGAGATGCACAGAAATTAAGATGAGTCACATATACATTTGCAGACAAAATACTGAAATTTGAAGTGGGGGGATTTGAACCCAGTTCTATCTCACACTAAGTCCTTGCTCTTTCACTTCCCTCGTGTGTATGGGAATGAATGTGTACACAATTCAAATGACTTGCTATAAATCACGATGGGAAGAAACATTTTGGAGAAAAATAATTGTAAGAAGCTCGAATTCCAAAGATAAGCCAGGTAAAAATCATACAATTTCGACAATATAGTGCTAATTAGCTCTAATACCTAGATCTAATGTGGGGTTTTCAGAGGGTTGTGACATTCATAGAAGAGTAATTAACCTGAGCAGCAAATCCATTTCATTTGCTCCACGACACAGCCAATCAAGGTTGGCTTACTGTTTGCTCATTTGGAAAATGATGAGGATTCCCATTTAGACTTAATTACAGTGCAAAGGTTGACAATTATCTTCTCTATAGAAGCATCAGATGCTCCAATATCACTGTGAACATGTGCCTATAATTATGTACATAATTTGTCTTGCAGAAATTGTAACCCAGTCATTACCTGGATCGTATGCCTGCAATTTAGAAATAATAATAAAAAAATACTGAAAGGGAACAGTGGGTTGGTGAGATGTTAGGTCCATTAAATTATGAAATCTGTATGGTGCTGTTAGTGGGGAGTCAGCAGCCACCAACATCTCTTGGATTGTTGTTCTGTATTAAAAATAATCAGGAAGTGTGAGAGGTGAACATTGTGGTACAGTGAAAGTACATACAGTACAGGTGCTTTTCCAAGATCTGATGGAAATAATGAAAAATCCTAGAAGCACCTCAAATTTAAAACTTCTGAAACCCAACTCATTAGCCACTTCCTGTTCCATTCTGCTGCTCCTTGTCTTGCATTTTCTGTCTTAGATAATGGAGAGTTATCCTAGAGTCACCAAGAACCACTGTTACCTAACTCCTTCCCTCCAATCTGAATTGTAATTCTAATTATTGTTTCTGAGTGTGTTGCTGCTCTTCTTGCTGTGGCACTTCTGTAGTTCTGCCTTCATCATTACTGGATGGTCAGCTTCCTGAGAACAGGCAAATGGCTCTGCCTTCCTCTATCCACTCCTCTCTGTTGCTCAACTCCTGTAATTTTCCCATGCAGGAGCATCCATAGTATTATCATTACCAATCACAAATGTAATCCTGCTACTCCACCATCCAGACAAGTTGAGAATGTCTATCTCTTCCTCAATAGAGACAATTATCTTCTCAATAGTAAGCACATTAGACATTTTATTCTTTGGGTTCTGGGTCAGTTGCATGCTATCTTGCCCCACAGAGCCTGCAATGAAGTAGCTCTCTCTATTTAATGGCTTCCTGAATATATAAGACAATATGCTTATTATTTCAGTTATCATTGGCAGCACAATTGACTACTTCCAAATTCAGTGGCTAGAAGCAACAATTTTAATTTTGCCCATGATTTTGTGGGTCAGGGATTATAGGAATGGTGTGAGTGGGTGGTCATTTCTGATTGACATCTCACCAGCTAGAGTGGAAGAACCTACTTCCAAATGGCTCATTCACTCCTTGACTTCTCTCTCTCTTCATCTCATTCCCAGTGTTTTTTCCACTTGGCTTAGCTTTTTGTAGCATAGGTATCTTTTTACAAAAGGGTTGGGTTCTTAGAGACTGGCAGTAGAAACCATCCAGCTACATAAGGCTTATGGCAGAAAAAGGAATGGCACACTTCTACCCTAGTCCATAGTACTGTGCTCCCAGAGGCCCCTCAGATTTTTTTATTTTGTATTTTTGGTACCCAGGGGTTCTTAACTAAAGCTACATCCCCAGTTCTTTTTATTTTTTATTTAGAAACAGGGTCTCACTAAGTTGCTTAGGCTGGCTTTGAACTTACAATACGCCTGCCTCAGTCTCCCAAGCCACTGGGTTTACAGGTGTGTGCCACTGTGCTCAGCCCCCTCAGATTTAAAAACATAAGGAAATAAGCTCTTGGTCCTCAGGGGGAAACTTCTAGCTCACACTGAAGAAAAGCTCATAGAATTGAAAATGTTGTTGTGTCCATCTTTAGAAAATCAAATTCATGTTCTTGCTATTTCCTCTTTCTGAAATGCCAATCACTCTGTCCCATTCAACTCCTGCTTGGTTTCTGAGGCAAACTTTAGGAGCAATTGCTCAACTTTGGATTCTCTAAGGAAAAACCACCAATCTCCCTACAATACTCTTAAGGTACATAGTTCAAGCTTCTTTTATCCTAGAGTGGAACCTCATTTTCTATTTACTGACAAATTTCTCTCTCCTGCCAGAATATAAGGATGAAGTCATGTATTATTTATTTTAAAATCCCTTATGTACAACACAGAGCCTGGTACCTAGTAGATGTTAAATGTGTGCCTTATTGATTATGAAACTAACTGAAGGAATGATTAACTGAGTAAATGGCTAAAATGGTTGTGTGTGTGTGTGTGTGTGTGTGTGTGTGTGCACTTGTGTAATTAATGCCTTCTGTTCCTTGAACAAGTTTAGTATTTCCTGGTTAGCTGATTCCAAGATGGACCCCAACGATCTTCATCACCTGTTACTCACACTCCTAAGTAGCCTCTTCCCACATTGTACAGCATTTGGTTATGTGACCAATAGAATATGATAAAAATGACACTATTAAATTTCTGATAACAGATTATAAGAAACACTGCAATATTTTTGCCCTCTCTCATAATTCAGAATGATACAAACCAGCTGCCATATGGTGAGCAGTTCTCTGGTGAGGCCCACATGGTGTGGGTCTGAGACCCCTGCCAACAGCCATAGGAATGACCTTGCAGCCAGAACCTCCAGCCCCAGCTATGCCTTTGGGTTCTGTTACCCAGGCAACAGCTTGGGTGAAACCTCACAGGAGGTCTACAGCCAGATCCGGCCAACTGAGCTGCTCCCAGACTCCTGACCCTCACAAACCATGAGAGACAATGTTTGTTGTTTTAAGTAGCTATGTTTTCAGGGCAATTTTTATGTTGCAAGAGATAACTAATTTGTTACTAATAATTTTTTTGTGTGTGTGTGTCATTCAAAGTATGAGTAATGAAGTAGTTGCCTTCCTCTTGGATTTCTAGCCTAAGCATTTTTCTGTGATTAGGATAGACACCTGGGTGGTAATTCCTATTTGAAACCAAACACCTGGGCTTTTTCTCTAGCACAAAGAACCTCTCACTACCAAGAGAAAATAATGATCTCATTTCTTGGAATATTTGTTGAAATTAGCAGCATGACGAGGTATAGCATGTATAGCAATAACATATTTGTACTTATTCTTCCAATACTTTCTCTTAAAATAATCTGATACCAAATAAATAAATATTAAATTACTAGATATCATTGGACCTTGTAAAGTAGCCTAGCTTTGCTAACTTCATGTTTCAATCCCCAAAACTAATAAAATTTATAATTATTTTGGTTGAAATTAAGAGCTTTCATTTTGTCTCTGCAAAATTGGAATGTGAAAGAAAAAATAATAAACATGGCACTACCTTGAAAATACCTTATTTATATATACTTCTCAGAAATTCGGAAGTTTTTTAAATGCAGAATCAATAATTAAATAATACTTGCATTCAAATTTACTCATGAAATGTTTACATTTGGAATAATTGAGAAATGTTGTAAATTGTAGACATAAACAAAAGGTGTGGACTAATTATTGATTCTTTAGTTTATGATGCTAACCTGTTCAGTCACATTTGTGTACTCAATATTTATAGAATACCTACTGCTAACTGGTCAACAGTTAGATCTTGAAAGGCAAGAAGCTGAAAGTGAGGAATTTCAGCATGAACTTGGCTGCTTAACCAGAACTTTCTCTTCTTCCCCTGGAAATCATCTGAAAGACTCCATAAAGAAAGAAAAGTGAAAAAATCCTTACAAAGTGTGTTCAGTGAAATTAGATGAGGATAATTCCTGGACTTCAAAACATTTCTAAGGGCTGTGGAGAGCAGCTGATGTTGAGCGGGACAGAGGCCATTGCAGAGATATGGCGTGAAATAGGGAAAATCTCAGTGGGAAGAAACCTTGGCATTTGCTGGTCTCTGACAGTGGCAATACAAGTACCCTAAAAGAGGGGAACTACCATTTGACCTGGTTATACCACTTCTTGATATGTATCCAAAGGAGTTACAGTCAGCATACTACAGTAACACAGCCATATCAATGTTTATAATAGCTCAACTCATAATATTTAAGCTACGTACGGAACCCCCCCTAGTTGACCTTTAACAGATGAATGGATAAAGAAAATATGGTATATAAACACAATTGAATATTACTCAGTCTTAAAGAAGAATAAAATTATGATATTTGCAGGTAAATGGATGGATCTAGAGATTATCCTGCTAAGTGAAATAAGCCAATCCCAAAAACCAGCTAAGGTTTTTCATGCAGGCAGTTCATAGAGAATTAATTTCACTTTTTGTTTTTTTTTGGTACTGGGGCCTTTTACCACTGAGCCACATCTCCAGCCCTTTGTGTTTTATTTTGGGACAAGTTCTTACTAAGTTGCTTAGGGAATCACTGAGCTGCTAAGGCTGGCGTTGAACCTGTGATTCTTCTCCATCAATCTCATGGATTACAATCACTTGGATTACAAGTATGCACCACTGTGCCAGCTCACAGAGAATTTTGAATGTGGAAAAATTTTAGAAAATATTTATGAATAACTATTCTTGATAAAATTAATAGAAAACAAAGTTGAATGTACCAAGAAGTGACTTGGGAGATGAGAGCAAAGAATTGAAAGCACCTATATGTTGAATATATTTTATTGGAAAAGTAAGACTACAAAAAAAAAACACATATCAAGAATGAAAGAAGAGAGGTGTGCCCTGACATGTCCCATTTGTGGAAATGATCCAGCAAAAAGATTGAGAAGAGGAGGGTGAGATGTACAGTAAGTTTGCAAACTGCGTCCCTAATTATGGCAGGGCCAGAAATCATTTATTTAAAACTAGTAGCATGTATATGAAAAAAGTAAATATATATATACATATATGAATTAAACACAAAGAAAGAGAAAATTGTTGATTATAAACTGGTGATGGTACAGATAAAAATGTATTATTGCTCAGAAAGAGGAACTAATAATTATTGCCTAAAACCCCCCAAATATTAGTAAGATTATTGATGTTGCCTGAATTCTATCTTAAAGTAGATAAAAATTAAGCAAAAATTCATGATATCTAAACTTCCTAATTGCAAAAGTAGACCTGATGTATATGATCAATATAGTACAATATATAGTACAATAATAGAGAACACAGCTTGCTTGACAAACCAGACACAAAAATTAGCTGTATTTTAAGTAAACAAGTAAACTACTATAAATTCTATGCAATAAATATGCTGACAGCATTATGTCATAACAATTCAATAATGTAGTCGTAAGTACAACCAGGAGACAAATGTTTCACCAACTTGGATATTTATAAATTATTTCTTCATATATTCTTGATACTAAGAAAGTATGCATTGTATAACCTCAGTTTATCTAGAAAATTATAAAAAATCATGACTTGTGGGATACAAGTGGTACTCATAGAAAATTCACACACTTTTATTTTTTTAATAAATACTAAGACAACGTTTGATGCAATAAGTTAGAAAAAAGCAACAAAATGGACTTAAACAAAGCCAAAGAGAACAACAAAGATAAGTAAAGAAATTAAAATATTTGAAATCAGTCTTAAGAAGAAGTGAAATTAGTCATCTACAAGCCGATTTAACAAGATTACCCACTGACCAATCAAGATAAAAAGAAAGTACCCAAAGGGAAAACAACAACAGCAACAACAAAAAAACAAACGTACAGGAAATAACAATGAAAGAATGAGAAATAAAAGAATAAACTATTGCACTATTCAATTTCATGCAGGTAGATTTGAAAATTTTGATGAAATGGAACCTAAGACAAGATAATTATGAAATTGTTTAAAGTATTATACAGCACAGATGAACAGAAATTTTCCAAAAATTTATGAAATGCTAACTTTATTTTTACCCAAGCCTGAAAAAGTTGCACACAAATTATAGACTCAATCTTTCTTATATCTACAAAATATTATTTCGTGGAATATCATAAAGTATGTGAAATTATCATTTTTATTAACATAAATATTAACAGATTTTAGTAGTGCATTTAAAAATAATATTGATCAAGTAGAGGTTATTTTAGGAATGTAAACAGAATGTAACTTACAAAATCTTTTGGCATGTGGTTATTAGCTACATTTTATTCTGTAATGACAGTAAGTCAAATATGGCTCTAAGAACCTTACATATAGTTTCTTATTTTGCCCATAAGATCATTAATTTCCCTATTTTATAGGAAAGGAAGTCACTGAGAGTTTAAGTCACTCAATCAAGGCCACACAGCTAATTGCTGCAGGTGAAATTTAATCTGAGTAATCTTTCTCTGGACACCATAATTTTACTTTTTTATTTCATTTTGTATTACTGAAATAAACTAAATATATTTTCAAGTTTTCTTATGTTACATACAGCGTAACCATACAGAAATGAGTTATGATATCACTGCATATGGGAGGCTGGTTTTGTTACTGAGGTATCTCAGAGACCACCCATCTTCCCGTTGATGGTTATTCATGCTAAGACCTTAACACGTACAGGGCCATAACAAGTCTTCAGTAAGCTTTGGTTGCTTCATGGTTGTCATAGAAGGGTAAAGCAGAATGACAGCTGGCGGCTGGAGATGCATCCACTTCTGTTCATCACAAGTGGAATAATGAACTCATGAAAAGTACCCGCAGTATTCCTAAGGAGCAGGCAGAAAGATGTCTTTAACATAGGGCCAAGGGTCTTTTTCCCCATATATTGAGACTGATGTTCTTCCTTTACTCTTCACAGGAATTCAGTCTGGGTGTTTGGAAAATTTAAGAATTATTCTACTACATAGATGACAAATTCTTAACAAATGTGTTTTATAAACTCAGAAATAAATATATGTATATTCATATATGCATGTGTGTGCATATATATGTGTGTGTACATGTGCCTATATATACACACAGATATATATGCATATGAATGAATAAATTATTATATATACATATTTATTATATAAACATACACATATTTATTATATATACATACATATTCATATATATATATATATATATATATATATATATATATATATGCTATTTTTTTCAGGAAAAACCTGTGGAATCTGAAAAAGTCTGAGATTCCTCAAAATTATTAGGGGTATGATTGCTTACTGGTAGAGCATTTGCCTAGCATGCATAATGCCTTGGGTTCTATCCCCAGTCCCATTTGTGTATGCATGTGCATGCGCAAACACACACACACACACACACACACACACAGAGGAAGAAACCAAACAACAAATGTGACAAGTACCCGCGGGAACAGTGGCTGAGCTGTGAGCACCTAAGGCTTTCTTAAGGGATGGCATTTTGTTCTGTACTGATCACCCTCCAGTGACTCCTAAAGCCTAGTTCCAAATCTGCCCATTTTTCTATAGGCAAGTGTTAGCAAGGAGAGTGCTGGAACAAGATTCCCAAAGAAGCAGCAGCTAATCCTTTGTTCTCATGTGCCACTCAGACTCTTGATACTAATACCAGGAGATGCCGACTGCACCCTTTCATTTGCATTCATGTCAGCTTTATCGTAGTATTTAGTGTTAATAGATTAGGATTCTGGAGGCTTTCTTGCTTTGGCAGTATTCCTAAGGGGTAGGGAAGGACAGACAAGAATCTTTACATGGATGAAAAGAAGCTAATTCATGTTCTGTCTCCTGCCTCCAAGTGAAGGCTA